TGATGATGATGATGATGATGATGATGATAATGATGGTGATGTTGACGATGATGAAGTTGATTCGGATGATGACGCTGATGGTGATATTGATAATATTATGAAGATGATGATCAAGGTGACGTTAAGGATGGTAATGTTTCAGATGTTGATGATGATGATGATGAGGATAATGATGATGATGATAATGATGTTGATGATGATGATGATGATGATGATGATGATAATGATGATGACGATGATGATCGTGATGATGATGATGATGATGTTGATCATGATCATGATGATGATGATAAAGGTCATGAGGATGATGATGATGATGGTGATGATAAAGATGATTCGGATGTTGACGATGATGTTCATAATGAGGAAAATTCGGATGATGATAAATATCAAGATGATGATGCTCTGCATGATATCGATGTTCATTTGGATGATGATGATGATAACTCGGATGACGAAGCTGATAATGATGATCTTGATGATGATGATGTCGATGATGATGATGATGATGATGATGATGATGATGACGATGATTCGGATGATGATGATTCGGATGATGATGTTTCGGCTGATGATGAGGATGATGATGATGATGATGATGATGATGTTTCGGACGATGATGTTGACGATGATCCTGATGATGATGATTTTGATGATTATGATGATGATGATGATGATGATGAAGATGATTCGGATGATGATGATGCCGATAGTGATGATGTTGATTCGGAAGATGACGATGATGATGATGATGATGATGATGATGATGATGATGATGACGACGACGATGATCACTCGGATGATGATGATGATGATGATGATGATTTGGATGATGATGATTTTGATTATGATGATGTTGATGATGATGATGATGATGATGATGATGATGATGATGATGATGATGATCATGATCATGATGATTCGGATGATGATGATGATGATGATGATGATGATGATGATTCGGATAATGACGATGATGCGGATGATGCTGATTCGGATGATGATGCTTCGGATGATGAGGACGATGATGATGATGATGATGATGATCATGATCATGATCATGATCAGGATGATGATGATGTTGATGATGAATATGATGATGATGAGGATCATGTTGATGATGATGATGATGATGTTGATGATGATGACGATGATGATGATGACAATAATGACTTGGATGATAATGATGAAGATGCTGATGTCGATGATGGTTATTATGATGATGACGATGACGATGATGATAATGATGATGATAATGATTCGGATGATGATGTTGATGATGAAGATGATAATGATGACGATGATGATGATGATGATGTTGATGATGATGATCGTGATTCGGATGATGATGATGATGATGATGATGATGATGATGATGATGATGATGATTCGGATGATGACGATGGTGAAGATAATGATGAAAATGCGGATGATGATAAGTATCAAGATGATGATGCTCTGCATGATATCGGTGTTCATTTCGATGATGATGATGATAACTCGGATGACGAAGATGATGATCATCTTGATGATGATGATGATGATGATGATGATGATGATGATGATGATGATGATTCGGATGATGATGATGATGATGATGATGATGAAGAAAAAATGATGATCATGATGATGGTGATGATGCTGATGATGATGATGATGATGATGAAACTGATGATGGTTTTTTGATGATCATGATGACGTTGATTCCGAAGTTGATGATGACGATGTTAATGACTATGAAGAAGATGTTGATGATTCTGATGAAGATAATGATAATGATGAGGATGATAGTGATGATGAAGATGATGATTTGGATGTTGATGATGATGATGATGATGATGATGACCATGATCATGATCATGATCATGATCAGGATGATGATGATGATGATGATGATGATGATGAATATCATTATGATGAGGATGATGTTGATGATGATGATGATGATGATGATGATGATGATGATGATGATGATGAAGAAAAAATGATGATCATGTTGATGGTCATGATTCTGATGATGATGATGATGATGATGATGAAACTGATGATGGTTTTTTGATGATCATGATGACGTTGATTCCGAAGTTGATGATGACGATGTTAATGACTATGAAGAAGATGTTGATGATTCTGATGAAGATAATGATATTGATGAGGATGATAGTGATGATGAAGATGATGATTTGGATGATGATGATGATGATGATGATAATAATAATGATGATGATGATGACGCTGATGTTGGTGATGATGTTCATCATGATTACCATGTACATAATAATGATGGTGATGACGATGATGATGATGTTTCGGATGATGGTGATGACGATGATGTTGATGATGATGTTCATCATGATTATCACGTACATTATAATGATGGTGATGACGATGATGACGATGTTTCGGATGATGATGATGACGATGATACTGAAGAGGATGTTTTTGATGATTTTGATGATGATGATGATGATGATGATGATGATGATGATGATGATGATGATG